GCTAAGGTCAAGCAGTTATGGAAACCAGAAGTATACTGGAATTGCGTAACAAATACTTAGAACAAACAACTCAATATAGACAAGAACAACGGCAAATTTTCTATTTGGACGAAACTTGCTACGACACAGTTACCAAATGTTGGACTGATGGTTCGAGAATATGTACGCATGCATGCAAACAAAGGATCGCAACTAATCATTGTGCATTCCGAATTCTTTGAAATTATGTGGAAAAAAAATTTGAGGTCTGCAATGTTGACTATTATAAGAACATGGAAGCTAATATTTTCGAGGATTCCTCTTTACTGTGTTGGGAATGTTTCAAACACTGAACTTCGACTGGATCTGGCTTATCAGGTTGGTTTTCACTATATTTGTACCTCACTTATGTCTAAATATCAAAATTCTTCATAAGCATCACTTGATGTCTGTATCTAAGGAAATGGTTTACAACAATAATATTCGAAGTTTTCATCATTTTTAAATATTTACAATAAGTTCATTATGTCTCTTCCAATTTTATTAAACAAATGTAATTTTGTTCTCACCTGATATTAATTTACAACCTATGTCGATTGTCTGTTTTTTGAAAATTAATAAAATTTGGTACACAAATTTTGAAATTTGAATTTCCCACTCTTTCTCACTTGTTTCCTGTCAAGTCTGTCTATACATTTACAGGATGACCTCGCTGTACTTCTTTATCTAAATTTTTCTGAGACTCAACCTGGTGGGTTTACCAATAATTGACTATACTGAACAATAATCACTTAACTTTATTTCACTTTAGATATAACAAACACTAAAACTTCAACTATTATTCGAACGTTTGTCGCCTTAATAGATCGCTTCGCGTACCGCACTGTAACTTCCGCTTGACTGTCTCGATATGCTCGTGGCATAATCGAAGGCGGTAGAAACTTCGCCGGAATTCCATCGAAGACGGTAGAACATTCGCGAAATGTCGGTTGGACTGGGTGCGCTTTTATCTACGTCACAATTGGCTTATGTTACCAGTGGTGGCCGGCGTTATTTTCTTTAGGGCATGATTCACAATAATACTGACTGATATCGTATATTGGTTAAACATATTGAACATAAATAAGTAGGTTGGCATCTAATACGAACTGGTTTATTTTGGGCAAAAAACCCAAGAGACATTTTTTGTTTAGTATGAAACAGGCTATCGGAAATAAATTTTTAAATGGTAAACGAATAATGAGATAAAAAGTTACATTGGAAATAAATTTTAGGGGTTGCGTTTCCCACCCCTTACAACTGTGGGGTAAACCAAATAAATTACTGGCTAAGTGTCTTTCTGGTAGTACAAAACGTCAGGTTAATTTCAATATTGTACCTTTTTCAGTGCCTGTGAAAAAAATTGTTATACAAATTTTATGTACCCCTTTTGAGGGGCTGTATCTTAACAAGGGATGCTCTAATAAAGTTTCTTTATATGAAAGATCCTATTTTTTTTTTTCGATGAGGAATCACCTCCTTGAATGTTTTACACTTATTTAGTTACACCCTGTATAGAGTGGTACCAGTAGGGGTCCGAGAATAGAACCTTGTAGAACTGGCCTAGCAACAGATTTAGAAGTTCCAATGATAGCTGACTGGGTACGTTATGTGAGGTATTCTTTAATTAATTTGGCAACATCCCCAGCAAATGCATAGTGTAATAGGTTATTATGGTATAGTGTATCGAACGCTTTGCTATAGTCTAAACTGGAGTTACTGAAGAAACTGGTCTCGCTATGCTTTTTCCTTGACGGAATATTTGATGAAATATTTTCCAAGTTCCTGTTATGATATCTGTATCGGAACAAATCAAATATCCATAAATTCAGTCCTGATATTATTAGATAAATTGATTGTAATTTATCGTTTACAATTAGCGAACAGCAAAGAATCCACAACAAGAAAACTCATGTTTTATGTAAATTTGTCAATATTTAATTAAGTTAATTTATAGTTTCGCCTAAAGGTTACGTTATCGTAACACTTTCCGCCAGAAAAAAATAAGTAATTACTTACTTTCAAGGTAAGCATTCAATTCCGATAACTACCTCATCTGTGACAAATGACAGTTAGGAATTACGTAATTTACGGTGATTTCGAGACATAATTGATATAATTTCGTCAAAAAATTGCCGTCAAGAGAAAATAATGGATGGGCAAATTTTCGTCGCGTGTTACAATTTACTTAACGGCTGTTATTTCCTGTTCCTTCAAATGTTAATCGAGTTTTTAGATCAAGATGGTCTGAGGAGATAAGTCATCGCTATTCAAATCTTAATTGCAAAATGAGATTCAAATAAAGTTTGATATATTTTATAACATATATGAGAGGATAATCAAAACCACAACAACAGCATTTACATAGATATCACATAAAAAATCATAATAGAATAGTGAAGTATTTGGACCAAAATAGCATTATTTCGGAAAAGCAAAAGCACCCAAGACAACATTGCAAAGCTTACTTGTATAATGGTGTTGATGGCAAGAAAAGTTGTTTGGGTGTTTTCATAGATCTGACAAGAGCTTTCGACACGGTTGGTCACGAGCTTTTGCTAGATAAATTGAAACATCTTGGTGTGAGAGAAGTGGTATTGGGTTTGTACAGAAATTTCCTAATATCAGGTAGAAAACAGCGTTTCAAAGTAGGTTAGGTTAAGTCAGGTCCAAAGTGAGTGGGTCTATTCGACCCTCCGCCGCAACCCGCAAAGGTTTATTGTGGCTCACACCTATTCACACAAGACTAAATAAACCCAGCTTCTTAACGAAGCCGATTAGTTTATATGGTGAGTGGTCTTTCAGGTCAGATGGTGAGAGTACGGCTCTGTCGAACTCTGCCGAACTGCAGTCCAACAACTGTTTGGTATCAAGCTTCAAAGGGTGAATAAACGCCTTGGAGTGAGCCAATCATGGAAGATTCTGCCAGAAATCCATGAATCTTCTTGCCATCCAGGTGTTCAATATTTGTTTGGCAAAGCCTAAAGCAATGCCAATGACAGGTTCTGGTGTGATGAAGTTGCTTGCAGCACCATCCATTGCAAGGAAGCCAGCAGTCTCATTGCCTTCCAGGCCAGTATGGCCAGGAATCCAGACCAGAGACAATCTGGTAAATCTTCCTATCGATGAGAGTCGTTTTTGGCAACTTGCTACCAATTTAGACGTTGCTCGGTAGGAGCCAAGAGCTTTTAATGCCGCTTGACTGTGCGAGAATATTTTTACTGACTCGTGTATGGAGTTGGATTCTTCCAATCCCTTCTTACACAATTCAATAGCGTAAATTTCCTCATGGAATACAGTCTCATAGATTCCTAGGCATGTTGATATCTCTGTCCTAGGTCTGCGACTGAAAACACCTGCACCAGAACCGGAAGGGGTTTTTGATCCATCTGTGAACCAACAACTATCTGCTCTTAATATTTACTTCTCCCAGAGGATCCAGTCCTCTCTTCTCGGGAACAGAACTTTATAAAGCAGTTCGTAGTTGACAGTTGGAGGCAAAAAGTCAGAGGTCATTTCCAGAATGCTGTGACTTCCAGTGTCAACCAACAGTTTATTGCACTCTGCATTACATTGATTTGTGCAATTGGCAATGTGTGTCTGTATACAGTCCATCTAGCCTCTCTCTTCAGAAGAATGTGTAGAGGATCTCCATGGCCGCTGACGGTGTGGTACTAATGGCACCACTTATGGCCAGACCAGCCTGTCTCTGTAAGCCAGAGAGACTTATGGTCGATGCAGAAAAAACAGTGTTGGTACAGTTTTTCCAAGAAAATCTGTGGAACATCCGTTCTTATAAATTACATGAAGATATACCCTTCAGAAACCACAAAGTTTCCAAGAGTTCACATCAATCACGCATTGAACAGGCAATTTCAAGTCGACTACATGAGTAAGAGACTCAATAGCAGTTTCTATACTTTAATACAACTTAAAAATATACTGAGCGAAGATTACCTGTTATAATGTGCTCCTATGGGGAGATGCAACAAATATTAACAGGTTCTTTATTGCTCACAAACAAATAATTTGCATGCCTTACAACCTACGTGATATTGACTCCTGCCGGTCTGTTTTCAAGCAAAAGATAGATAGATAGATAGATGGATTATCTTTATTAGTTCTTTGGTACAAAGACCCTTACGGGTGTAGAACATGTCAATGTATAAAGGTTGTTGTTGATCCATTACTGAGATTACAAACACTACTAGTACCATTTCGTGTAAACGTTATGGCATGCGTTTTATTGGAGATTTGAAGATTTTTACAATACTTTCACTCTATATTTATAACTCTCTGCTCTCTATGAAAAAACGCGAACTTGAATTAGAAACTAATTATTTATCAATGTCATAATTACGAAACAAGGAACGGGAATTCAAACTACAACAACATCATACAAAATTATTCCAAACGACGCAGTCTCAAAATTTTTCAATTGTCTACCTTCTGAAATAAAAAGTGTGGCATCAATTTTAGTATTTGAACGTAAAATCAGAGACTATCTCAAAGATGGTTGTTTTTATAATATTGATGAATATTTTGAATATCCACTTTTGCCAGTCTACAATTACCTATTTTGACTATAATGTGTATGTATGAACACTTTGTTTATATACATTTCATGTTTTACCATTGACGACTCCTATATCATTGTAAAATGTTCATTTTGAGGAATAAATATATTGTATTGTATTATAATATCACACGTGGTATTAGCCAGGAAAGTAGTTGTTTTCCTGCAGACATTTACCAGAACCTACTGTATAGGTATGTTGGGAGAGCTGAATGTATTTATTTTCTTTCAAACCATTCGTTAGCGCAACTTGGCTCAAATCGTCATCTTCTTGCATGTCTCCCTTTCTGCTTCGCTGCCTATATCGGTATCGAAAGAGAGGATGAAACACGAAACATCCTCACCTACGAAATCGTCAAAGTGTATCAAGTTCGCGGATTGCTGAATCGAGTTTCTTTTGTTTCAGGGAAAGGTGGTAATCCGACCGATCGCTTTCAAGCCATCGGCTATGACGCCGTCCTCCAGGTTCGGCATCGCTGGAGAGCGATACGGCTCGACGCCGATACTCACCAGGCCCGGATCCAGACTGACTTTGTACGGAAGTGAGTTTTTACAACATTTATTTTTTAGTGTGTAGGCTAACACGGCCGGTGTTTAACTGATTATCAGGGCCGTCTTTAACCTCTTCAGGGACGAATTAATTGATTGAAAGAAAAATCATAGCAGAATTTTGTTTACGCTTTTAATATTGATGAATTATTACAGAAAAATATTGAAAAAAATTCATAACGTTTTTTTAGTCCTGACATTTAAAAAACTCAAGCGTACACATATGTGGCCAGTAAGCAAATGTGTCACTCATGAAAAGACTGCATGCATTCGGGACAAACACTTTCTTTACATTTTTGACATGCATATCTTGTTCTGCGTTTGCAGTTTTTCTCGTGACAACGTGGTGGATTTTTATATTCCCTCTTCTCAGGGTAATGGCCTTCTCCATCATGGCGAACTTCCACTGCCACTTCGGTCCAAGCTTTCTTTTTCACACATCTCGGAGTGTCAGTTGAGGGTCTCCCTCTTTTTCTATTATTCAGATGGATCTGAAAAATTGTAGAAGCGATGGACGCTTTGAACTCAAGTAGAGATATCTTTGGATTCTTCGCTTGTCGGTAAAGTAACCATGCGTTTATTATGGCTACATTCAAAAAGTGAAATGCAATACGCATGTAGAATTTTTTGTTTTTTAGAGCATGTGGATCCTGCATCTTCAATCGAGTCACTTCTTCGTGGTTACCATANATCTCCTGCCTGGAATAAAAACAGATTATATACAATACCTGATATTTTTTCAAACCTATATATTCAGCACACATTTGCACAATGTACACATATGCGGCCATATACTCCATCGAGCATACGGTTGAAGATACCAACACAATTACATGTTTCTAGTTATGAATAATTAGCTAACAAGTTCTCGAAACACTTACCTATTTTTATTTCTCCAAAACGCAATTATGTTGCTGACGAAATGAAGAGGTAAATTGGTGAATATAACCTCAAAACATGCAGGAACCCTCCTAGCCGGCAACAGGTAGTATGAAGCGAATCTGACTCATATTGCATATGTGTAATAAGGAAGAAAGGCAAACGGCCACAACTGTTGACTCCGGGCACATTTGAACCAATAATATTATGATGTAAATCGACTTTGAACCAAATGTACACTTGTGTACATTTGTGCTTATATCCCTCAAGAGGTTAACGTATTGGAGGCCTTTTGGATACATTGGGATTATGGGACCCCTATGACCTTGACAGAGCACTGTTCTGTGGAAATAGAGAAGCAAACTTTAAGATTTATTTGTATTTCTTTACAGTCACATTAAGTTAATAGAAATTAATAAAAAGGAAATAATAGGTTTAGCACTTTCACTTACATGGAAATTGTCAACCGATCTAGATGAGATCCCTTCACACTTGAGGTATATTTTTATTGAGATTGTATAAAGGTATATGAAATCAATCTGAATTGTCAGAAATGCAAGATTGTGTCATTACTAGAGAACTATCATGGGATTTCAGAAATGTTATACTCAGTGAACAGCAAAAAATCCACCTTAACGAACTGCGTATCATGAATGCTATATAAAATAAATTTCAAATCGATTCTATATAGATGAAGAGACTTTCCTAAAGCAGAAGGGTGAATAAACGCCTTGGAGTTAGCCAATCCTGGAAGATTCTGCCAGAAGTCCATAAATCTTCTTGCCATCCAGGTGTTCAATCTTTGTTTGGCAAAGCTTAAAGCGATGCCAATGACAGATTTTGATCCAAGGCCAGTATGACCAGGAATCCAGAGCAGAGACAATCTGTTAAGTCTTCCTATCGAGGAGAGTCGTTTTTTGCCATTTTTTACCAATTCAGACGTTGCACGGTAGGAACCAAAAGCTTCCAACACCGCTTAACTGTCCGAGAATATTTTTATTGACTTGTGTATGAGGTTGGATTCTTACAATCACTCCGCACACAATTCAATAGCGTAAATTTCCGCTTGAAATACCGTCGCATAGGTTCCTAGGCAGGTTGATATATCTGTCCTGGGTCGGCGACTGAAAACACCTGCACCAGAACCGGAGGATCCACTCCTCTCTACTCGGGAACAGTACTTTTTTAGACAGTCGCAGGTCATTTCCAGAATGCTGTGACTTCCAGTGTCAACCAATTTCCAAGCAACTTTTTCAAACAATTCGGTATCATCAACGCGAAGCAAAGTATCGAGAGTTTGCCCTTTTCGCAGGAACGGAGTAGGCTGGATTTAAGACTGTCACTTGAATTTTTATTACAAATTTGTCATAAAGTTATTGCATATCTATTCTGTAATGTAATGAAATTAATATTTAGTACCTATTGAGTTTATAAATATAATAATGGTAAGTAAGTGGTTTCACCCAATGTCAAACTACCTCGGTTGATTACTCATCAGATTAGGCCAACTTTGCAACAAATTTGGTATCCAAGAGTAGACATCTGACATTTCAAAATGTCAAATTTCAATGTCAGAAATTAACACATGCGTGATTTGTTCAAAAATGTATTTATTCATCAATTTCTATATTGTCCCCTTCAAAATAGCCCCCTCAAACATAATGTGTCAGTTGTGTCAGCGTTTTTTCAATCGTCGAAGCAGTTTCGACATACACTTTTTGGTATATCCTTGAGCTCTCTCAGCTATTCGGTTTTTATCTCCTCAATCGTCGCGAAACTTGTCTCTTCAACCTTGGGAATAGGGGCCAAACCTGGTGAATACGGTGGCTAAAGCATTGTTTTTTATATCTCGAACTTCTGTAAAAAGCTTGTACCACTTGTAAACATTTTTCTGACGCAGAGTTCAGTCACTGTACGCCACTGTCAACATTTCAAGTGTCTTTGGGACCTTCATCCAATTTTTTTCAGAAAATTTGATCCAAATTCTTCAATCCATTTTTTTGATAGCAGAAAATCGCTGAAAATGTCTCTCACCAACAAACTAAACATGCTAAACAGCTGAAATTGTGAACATTATGTTCGACAGCAAGATCACTGATGAAAACCAGGAAAAGTAAAGTTCTCAAGTTGGAACCTTGTGGTACTCCCGATACTGCTAAATAATCTTGAGAATTTTCACCACCATACACAATAAATTGGGGTCTGTTTGAAGGTGGTTGACAATCAAGCAAAAAATTGAAATTTGAACAATTAAACAAGAAAATAAATAACAATTAAAAGATTTCAACCCAAGTTAGTTCACGACGTTTCGTTTGTTAGTATCCACAATCGTCTTCGGGTGATGACTAAAATCGAAACGTCATGAACTAACTTGGCTTGAAATCTCAAAATTTTTATTTATTTTTTGTTTAATTGTTCTATTTTCAATGAAATGAAATTCAAATTGGAGTCTCATTAGAATGTAAGATATGAAAACAAAATCAGACCATAGAATTTTGAATTGGACAAAAATATATGATGATTTATCTTTATTGTAGATGTCTTATTAAATATTATTTTTTTTCTTATTTGTTTGTTGATTATAATAGTACATTTCGATTTGAAATTTTTTCGTTTATCAATGTAATATGGAATCTTATGATTTTTGTATAATTAAAGTGTAAATTTTAATAAACAGCTAAAAAGTGTACATAATGATGAAAAAAAAATCGAATTAGTTTTTTCGATTTTTGGTATTTTCTGAGAACATTTAGTAGAGTAATAGATATTTTTTTACACCATCAGAAAGTAGAGATTTGNTTTTTTATTTTTTGTTCAATTCGTTCCATTTTTACTTGTATTTTATTTCACTATTATTTCATTTCAGGTTTTTTGCTGAATATAATTGTTTTTTCAGCTATTCATTTTTATTCTCCTTCTTCAATTTTTAATTCTTCTTTAGTTATTTCAGGGATTTCAAATCATTTTACATAATATCAGACAATGATTTATTAAATAAGGTTAATAATGGATATACTAGTGAATCCAACATAGCAGGGAATATCATCGGCGTCTGCTGATCTTCAAGATTTCAATTTCTGAAATGCCTTTTCTTCTTTATCTACAGTTATGCGAAATGAATATTGTAGAAAAAGTTTAAGGGCCAAACTGCCAATATACATTATATCTGTTTCAGTTTTCTTTATGAACATTTGGTGACAGAAAAAAATTGATTTCTCCTTAATTTAATAATCATAGGGGGAAGTAGTTGTTTCAGATAGATTCTCTCTCCTCATTCGTTCGTGAATCAGTGATAATAATGGTTGTTTTTTAAGTAAAACTAACGATAACTAGTTTTACGTGTTATTTAATAAAGTGTAATACAGGTCCTCGGTCTCCTTTCTAAAATAACAATTATTGATTGATCTAAGTATTCTAAGTACCTATACCAAGCTAAGTGTGGGGAAAAACTTTCACAAATGTACTTTCTGTAACTCGACATCCATCTCCTCTGTAGACTCGCTCCTGAACTAAATTTACAGGGAGGTCAGTTGGAGTCGTAAACTCGATCCATCTCCTCTCTAGACTCGCTCCTGAACAAAATACAGGGAGGTCAGTTGGAGTCGTAAACTTGACATCCATCTCCTCTGTAGACTTGCTCCTGATCTAAATTTACAGGGAGGTCAGTTGGAGTCGTAAGCTCGACATCCACCTACTCTATAGATTCAGCTTCAGAAAGAATTTTTAAGTACACTCTGTCCATAAAAGTCCCACGAGTAGCTAGGGAAAGAAGGTCAATTACGGCAGAGCTCCGCATTACCGTGACAAGGCGATGCTACGACGAGAGGGCTCCCGGTATCCCGAAGTTTCCGTAGAGACAGCTGATAGGCTCAGTGGCATTCATCCTTTCGGCACGGATACACACACCTTAGGATTAAACCATCGTTGGGATGAACCATAAGTGATTCTGTCATTCCCGTATCCAGCGGGGCTACGTGGAAGCAGGCATCCGATGGCCAGTTTGCTCAACCCCCACATCCCAAGCCAATGCACTCGCCAAAAACACCATGCACAGTGGTTCAGGCAGTGAAAGATGAACAAGAACAGCCAATCCGCCTAGATGAGGGTAACGTAATATCTAAACTGCACGATTCACAACCGTAGTCCATTTCGATACACAAGTCGTTTAATTCCGTCAGCATAAACATTGGGTGCTCGAGATTCGATGAACTCGACGAAGGCAGTTGTTGACTGGTCCTGATCGGCGAAGATTCTACCGTTGAGAAAGTTAACGAAAAGATGATAGTCAGTTGAAAAGAGGTATTGGGTTATGGTAGGTGAGACAGAATCTCGGCGCTCAACTCATTCAATTTTCGGACGGTGATTTGTGAAACGTGCGGATGGGCGTTATCGTGGAGCATTAGTTTTTCGGGCTGTTTCGATAGCGTAGTAGAGTAGACCTCACTTCAGGCAGACAGTATAGTCATCACACCAGTCAGGTTGCTTCTCAGCTCGCCAGACAAGACAGACAGACCACCCAGTCAACCAGAGTGCACCAAATTGTCACGTGGTGTCCTCAAACTGTCATCCAGCTAGCTGGGCGGTGAGACAGCCAATCAGAATGTACCAAATTGTCACGTAGCGTCCTCAAACTGTCACCCAGCTCGTCAGCTAATCAGAGCGCACGCTTCTGCATCTCAGAACATCGTGGCGGGAGATTTGAATTTTCTGTGGACATGAATAATCCAAGCAGACAGACCATCCAGACAATCAGGATCAGGCGCATCCCTTAACAAGGCAGACAACCCAGTCACGTGGCGCGCTTACGTTAACCCATCTTTTTGCTCAACACATTTTTGTTTCACCACAGCCATGACGTCATAGAAAAAGTCTCCCGCACTGAGAAATATCTTGATTCTCTCAGAAAAATTAAATTTTCCTGTAACGTCTTCATAGGTCACGTAGTTTACTCGACTCCATATTTACCCCATTTAATGAATGAATTACCTTTAATTTTCAGGTAGCAGTGATATTCACCATCAGTCTCACAGTATGAACAACTACTCACTAGATAGAAAACTGCGGTCTTTCTGCCCTTCTGCGTCTTCCTCGCCGCGATTAGAAATGAGTTCCCTCTCCTCCCTTCCTCATGGCCATAAGCTGGTCAACTACGACAGTCTTGAGAGTGTTCGAAAATCTCCCGTGTCCAATGCTGACAGTTCTGTTACGTACGTATATCAAATCGATATTTCTCTTGTGAAGCAGAAAATTTTAAGGGTGCTCACCATTATATTCATTATTTTTCAGGCACAAACCCTCCTACCAAACGTCTTCCAATCACAGTAGTCTAGTGGACCTCACCCCCTCTCCGTCAGACTCTGGTATCTCAGAACTGGAGGCTGCTCTGAGATATCGTGACTCTGAGGTTGCTTACCTTCGTCAAACGATGGAACACAACGAACAGGTTATCTTCAGAGTGTACCAAGAGAAGGAGAAAGTTTGGGAAAGAGAACTCAGAAGACTCAAGACTGTCCAAGAGAGCAGACTGCGGACAAGCGCTCAAAAGGTTTGTTGGTATATTTCACAAATAGTTTTGTTCGTGAGAATTTTTTTTGTTGATTTAATTGATCGCAAAGAGACTTTGATAGAAATAGTAGAGAAGAAATTTAATTTAGGGGTTAAGACTTTTTGAAATGTTGCAGGTTCATTTCAGAGTCCAAATGGTATTCGTGAATTTTATTCAGTGTTGGTTTGTGAAATATCACAATGTGAGTTACTTTTTCAGGTCCACAAACTAGAACAGATGTTGATGATGCAGACCTATCAACTCCAACAAGACAAGAAACGACTTAGTTCTGACGTTCAGCGATCGAATATGCAATGCGATAGGNGCTGATCTTCAAGATTTCAATTTCTAAAATGCCTTTTCTTCTTTATCTACAGTTATTTTTGCGAAATGAATATTGTAGAAAAAGTTTAAGGGCCAAACTGCCAATATACATTATATCTGTTTCAGTTTTCTTCATGAACATTTGATGACAGAAAAAAATTGATTTCTCCTTAATTTAATAATCATAGGGGAAAGTAGTTGTTTCAGATAGATTCTCTCTCCTCATTCGTTCGTGAATCAGTAATTATAATAGTTGTTTTTTAAGTAAAACTAACGATAACTAGTTTAACGTGTTATTTAATAAAATGTAATACAGGACCTCAGTCTCCTTTCTAAAATAACAATTGATTGATCTAAGTATGCCAAGCTAAGTGTGGGGAAAAACTTTCACAAATGTACTTTCTGCCGAACATTGTTGAATCACTCAATAAAATCCGGTAATGATGGATTATGATTTTCAAAAATACCCAAAATCGTTAGTTCAACCTGTGAAATATAATTAACAAATTCCTTATTGCAATTTTAATACATTCAATGTAATAAAAATTCTAATCCTCCTAATAAAGGGGTCCTCATAGTACATAGAAGACAGTAGAAGATACAGGTAAAAGGTCATTAAAAGAATTTCGGCAAATGAATATTTGTTAGTAGTTTTGCATAGACGATGGGGTGATAATGTTTTGGAAAGTTATCATAAACTGAAATGTCGTTTTGTTGTGATGGATGTTCAAGCCAAAATGTTGACGAAATAGTTCTCCATAATTTCAAGACGTATGACTTCGATAAAATATTTACTGGTGAGTGAGATATTTGGAAATTTTAAACTTTTGTAGAAGAAAGTAAAGGTACTCGGCGGTGATGTATTAAACAATTACTAGGAATTGTACGAAAAATAGTATATTGTACAACAAGTGAGAAAAACGACATATTTCTCACCAGCGCAGAAGTTTGTTCTCGCTTGATTTGAGTGCCTCAAATCAAGCGAGTGAGAAATATGTCATTTTCTCACGCATTGTACACTGTACTTTTTCTACGGTTGCGTTGTTTTCAAGTATTGAAAATTAAAATACATATATGATAATACTTGTATGTCATTAACTCATTTTCATATTTTATATAAAATAGTAATTAACAGTTATATTTGAACAGTTTTGTAAAGTAATTCCTGGTAGGTCGTTTTGTTTCAACATGTTTTCGGTAATTGAAATATTAGCTGCGGTGGAAGTTGAAGTTGATGGGGAAATGTACTGAGCTTCCACAGCATTGTTGTGTTCAGGTTCTAATGGCGCTGGAGGCTGAATGGATTCTGCTCTACTTTTTGAAATTTTCATGTTAGCTATGGAGTTGTCAATTTAAGATTCAGCAACATTGCTGCATTTCCAACCCCCATGGCGTTTTAAAGTTAAAATATTTGCCTCTGCATTAACTAAAATAGTCGTAGATGACCTTTGGTGGCAGTGGCCAATATATAATTCAGGGTTGGGTAATTGCAAAAATTTCGCTATTTCTTTCGCCACGGTGCCAAATGTATTCATCCCCACAGGCTGTTTCGTACATTTGCTATTTTTGTAATTACAAAAAAACGTGTTTCTTTGTGCATGGTCGAAGCTTCACATATTTTTTGTAAATTTGGTATAATTCTTCTGTGACCGTGAAATTTCAAGGAACCTTGGTTTTAGTATGGGGTAATTTTATTAAAAAAGACGAATTAAAATCTTCCATGTCATCAATTTTCAATTTTCGAAGTTAATCACAACGGCTTGCCCCTATAACGCCAATAGCTAAAGCAGCCTGAAATCAAAACTAAACATTACTTTTTCGATAACAATTTAAAAATTTTCAATTCATACCTTTATCAGCAAATACTTTTCATCAGGTTCATCTTTTAAAAATTGTTGAATTTCTTCAGAAGTTAATGTTTTTGACTGTTTTGGAGCATATTTTTCAGATTTGCGTTTTGAAAATGCACGTAGTTTTACGTATTTTGATATATAAACACAGTTTTTAATAATCAAGGTACTCCTCAGCATCGAGTACTGAGACCATAATGTTGATGATTTCAATCTTCTTAACAACTCTACAAAATAAACTA